CTCGTCGAACATTTGGAAAAATTCTAAAGCCAAAACCAACTGTGTTCATTACCCCGAAGTCGCCAGGCACGGCCAGGGAAAGCCGGCATCAGTCTCATTACGATTGCGAAGGAGCTTCCACTTGCAACGGTTACAGAGGAGCTGACGGTCCTGGCGGTATGGAATTATTATGCGCAGGTTTACTAATGGTCCCTGCAGCGCCATCTACCCCTCCAAGAAAAGCCCCAGAGTCCACCGCTCCGCCGCTGGCCCTCGTCGCCCTCCCTGCCACCACACAATGCGATAGTTTTGTGACTGTGAGATTGTTGGAACTGTGTACCCAAAAGGTACATGGACCGGACGTGGACCACGCACAACAGGCAAAACTGCCATTCTCCAATCGACGTCGTGGGATAGCGCGGGCATGGAGAAAAGCCGTGGAGTTGCTGGAGCAATGCCGGCACTACTTTAGTCTGTTGGGCTTTCGCATTCCGCTTATCCTCGACCTTAATCCACCTCACGCACCAAGTGGATATCTCTCCGGTCTCCAGTTCGGAATCCCGGTCGGGCTTTGCTCTCTTTGCCACCGGCCACTATTGTTGCCTGTTGGATTGTTGCTCCCGCTGCTGGCGAGTGCTGGTTCCGCTTTCTCTCACCTCCCATTCGACTTCTCACCACTTCCCTGTCAGGCCCGTCCATGAGGTCCACTGCCATGACTAACAGAATGGTCGTTGTTCGGGAAGCCTCGAGCCGGCCAGCTTCCTACAATTTCCCACCTGCCTCTTCGAGTGACCGAGGAGCTGCCTCTGCATCTGATATCCCTGGGTCCACCTGGGCAAGGGCGACAGGAACTCAACTTCACCATCACAAGTCCTGTCTAGAACCACCGGCCTTCTGAGGTCAGCACGTGGTCCGTTATCTTAGGCATATTGTGCGCCACGCATTATCACTACAGTCACAATCTCAAAGCAGGAGTCGGGACCGTTGTGAAGGGCGTGCCTTATCAAGCTTGTCCTACGCAGCCTCTATGCCCGCGAAGCTGCAAAGCAATGGTAGTTGCCTTGGACTTTAGACCACCTGCTTTTACCTACACTAAATAATGTGGCAAGAGCGTCCGGCAACAGTCAGAAAAGAGCGGCAATCGCCAGGCTGCGAGTGCAGTTTCCGAGCAGTTTTGGCAAGAGCAGTGAGGACTGAGGACAGCGCCAGGGCAAGGGCATGGAAGCAAGACAGAGCCAAAGTGCAAGGTGTACCTGGCTTGTATTGTCTCTTCAGTCGCCGAGATCGCTGGTCGTTTTGGAAATGCTGTCGAGGATGATCCTTTTCGGCAATCCCGGAGTACGGCGACCAGATGGTGTACGCATAGGCCAGATGGGGGGAGCTCCATCAGATTGTCCCTGACTCGTCAACTTCCTGGTTGCTCCAACTGGCTAGTGCAGTCGTCTGCAAGAGATCCGCCTCGCCCCAAGTGCACCCCATCGCCGCATGCTTATATGTCGCTCTTCCCTCTCACGTACCTCCCAAGTACCTGTCTCATCCGACGCCCGCCTTCTCCATCCTTTCTCTTTCATACTTAATCTGCCCCGGTCCCCCGCAGTTCATCCTGTCTCTTGGACCTTGGATCGTCTGCTGGTTTTCTCGCTTGTTGTCCGTACCCCATCCATACTTATACCTGGGCTCTCCCCAGACAACATCTTCCGTCTCTTCCACTCCTCTTCATCCATCCCACCAGCTTGAGACGCGAGAACCAAGCCGCTGTCGCCAAAGGCCTTCAACAAGGCCTCACACCCATCCACCATGGACTCGCAATACGAGACAAAAAAGAACGACCCAAACGCCATCATGCCGTACGGGGAGTCGAGCGGAGATGAGCATGTTGGTGAGGTCCGTGGCATGGGCGGCGACATCTTCAAGGAGCCCGAGGCCCAGCACGAGGGCCATGCCAAGTTCCACCGTCTCGGCTGGAAACGTCTGACGGTCGTTCTCATCGTCGAGGCCATTGCCCTTGGCTCTCTGTCTCTCCCTGGCGCCTTCGCTACTCTCGGTATGGTCCCTGGCGTCATTCTCTCCGTCGCCATGGGTCTCATCTGCATCTACACGGCTCACGTCATCGGTCAAACCAAGCTGAAGCACCCTGAAATTGCCCACTATGCCGACGTTGGTCGTGTCATGTTTGGAAGATGGGGCTACGAAATCATCAGCTTCATGTTCGTTCTCCAGTTGATCTTCATCGTCGGCTCCCACGTCCTCACTGGCACCATCATGTGGGGCACCATTACGGAAAACGGCAACGGTACCTGCTCTCTCGTCTTCGGTGTTGTCTCCGCCATCATTCTTTTCCTCCTCGCCATTCCTCCCAGTTTCGCCGAGGTGGCTATTCTTGGCTACATCGATTTCGTCTCCATCTGCGCCGCCATTCTCATCACCATGATTGCTACTGGCATTCGTTCGAGCAACCAGGACGGTGGCCTCGCTGCGGTTCCCTGGTCTTGCTGGCCCAAGGAGAACCTCAGCCTTGCCGAGGGCTTCATTGCTGTCAGCAACATTGTTTTTGCCTACAGCTTTGCCATGTGCCAGTTCAGCTTCATGGACGAAATGCACACCCCTTCTGACTATAAGAAGTCCATCGTCGCTCTCGGCCTGATCGAAATCGTCATCTACACGGTCACCGGTGGCATCGTTTATGCTTTCGTTGGCCCCGAGGTCAGGTCTCCTGCCTTGCTCTCTGCTGGCCACACCCTCGCCAAGGTCGCTTTCGGCATTGCCCTCCCCGTCATCTTCATCTCTGGCAGTATCAACACTGTTGTCGTCAGCAGATATTTGATCGAGCGCATCTGGCCCAACGACGTCATTCGCTATGTCAACACCCCGAAGGGTTGGATGGTCTGGCTTTCTTTCGACGCTGGCATTACCATCATTGCCTGGGTTATTGCTGAGGCCATTCCCTTCTTCTCCGATTTGTTGGCCATCTGCTCGGCTCTGTTCATCTCCGGCTTCAGTTTCTACTTCCCGGCCTTGATGTACTTCAAGATTACCAGGAACGACGCCAAGAGCGTCAGCAAGAAGTACTTCTTGGATGCGCTCAACATTCTTTGCTTCATCATCGGCATGATCATTCTTGGTGTCGGTACCTACGCCGCCATCCAGGACATTGTAAGTTTGGCCCGCTTTTCCATTTGCTCTTTGCGCATAAATGCTAACTCGCTTATTAGATGGACCGTTACGATCGTGGTGAGGTTTCGCAGCCTTACAGCTGTGCTCCTGTGGCTTAATCCAGCCCGAAGCACACCTACGATCCGATTCTTGGATGTTTTTACATAATTAATATCGGGTTGTGATGGATATTTGTCCTCGCATGCGATGCCCCTTTTATATACCCCCTCCTCAGACCTGTCGGCCTGAGGAAATGTTTTGAGTATTCTTTATTTTCCGGTTTACTATGAGTCGGAGTTTCAGGATTTCGCACCGAGCAAACCAGCGCTGAGTTGAGACCGTTGCGTGTGGTGGTCCTCTGGGTGTTTCTTTTTAGGCGGTGCGCTGCTGCATTGGGAACTGCTCTTCCACGGTTTTGGCTTTGGTGGTTTGGATACGCGTATCGCCTCTTTTTTTACGTTTTATGCATGCATGTATTATATGGGAAGGTCATGGGTCATGGCAACTACACGAACGACGCGAAGACATGACGGGATGGATGGTGGATGGATGGATGGATGGGCAGGTAGCCTACCTAATGATGGAAACATGTTTACCAATCATTGTTAATGCGCCACCAAGAGATGGACAATGATAAGATGCTACCTATACTCTATAGAGGGTATAACGTTCTCTAAACACACCTTTGACAGAAACAAGAGAAACGGGTCAAAAAATCACGATCTCGTTGAGTTGCTTTCCCGTTGTGTTTCTAATTCTACCTTGGACTTCCAGCCTTCTCCTTTTTTGGCCACGCGCATCCGAGATCTCGAGTTTGTGAAGGATTCTCGTGTTGAGTGGAGCTTTTCTCAACAATCCTGGGGCTACGAAACCCTCCACCGGACCTCACCCCGGCAGCCAGCCAACCAGCCAGCCAAGTGAGCAAGATCGAATCTCGCCTCGACGGCCACGTCTCTCAAACACCAAAAACTTGTGTCATCGCTACTACAATACAAGCTACTTTGTTGGCGTTCCAGACAGATGTGGCGGAATACCAAGCGTATAGTGTAGTGGGTTTTGTAAATCCGGGGAAAAGCCTGAGCCTTGTGTGTTTCGGGCGGGCGGTGCCCCGGCCGGGTGTCCTTTTCCAGGGCCGGTCCAGCACGGTCCAGACGGTCCAGACGGTCTATGGAGTACGGGTACTATTATCCTAAACCGAGCAGAGGGGAGTTTTACATAATGCTCAACCACTGTCGTGACAAGTGTCGTGATGTTTTGATATTTTAGGTCATGATCACTGTCGCTCGCTAGCGGAAAGGACCAAAAAAGTCACGGTGTTGTTGAAAAGGATATCATCGCCTAACACCGGGATAAGAACCGACGGGCTAAGTCTAGACGGCCGGCACAAGATGGCATAAGATGGACAAGACCGGCGATGATTGACGGATTGACAAGATGGACAAGATAGACAGGTGGTACATGTAGGTAAATGCGGCAAAGTCCCGTCCGTAGTGTACATGACATAAACTTGGCTCACTTGGCAGCTTTGGCTTCGACCAGTTCGATCCAGTGAGTGAATGCAGTTCACGGAAAAGCTGTTCATGATGATCTGCGTTTTGCCTGCGTTGCCTGCGAGTTCTTGGAAGTTTGGGGATTTGGGGGTCCTGGGGAACTTGGGGAACTTGGGGAAGTTGGACTTGGCACCTAGTGTAGTTTGGGGTTTGCAGTTTAGGTACCTAAGTGAGCAAGTGAGATAAGCCTGTTTTTCCCGTTTTGGTCCGTCATGATGGGATGGGATGGGATGTTTCAAGCGTTTTGGTGAAGCCGGTTAGTTGTTGGTACCTTATCATAGGCATAGATACATGCTGTGCTATGCTATGCCGTGCCGTGCCATGCTATGGTATACGTTGATAAGGCAGGAAGGTTTCTGCAACCTGAGAGCTTGATAATGTGTGATGTTGTTCGATACCGTTATGGTTCGCCTTGATAAAGCACTGAGGTACCGGTATACAGACCGAGACAGAGTGAGTCAGAGAAAACCTGCAACATGCGCCCCGAAGAACTGGGAAATGCAAAAGGCACACGTTAGAAGCATAGCATTGCCTTATCACACATAAAAACACTTCAAAGGACCCTTCTACCAGATTGCAAATGTCAGGTGATCAACTTGTGACAAAATACAAGTAGTGTAGTATAGGGAAATACCGCACGTGCCTTCGGCGGGCGGACGACCACGGCGGACATCCCTCGTATGTACCGTTCGTACCTAGTTACGGGGAAGGAAGGGTTGGGGTTAGGGCTCATCATGCCTCACCCTCGATCTCTCGACGACCTGCGGTGGGGATAAAGTTAAAGCTAAACCCCCTGGCCTGCCTCACATTTGATGAACGGGGTATGATTGGTCCGAAAGAGTAAAATGCGCGGGTGGGTGGGAACCCAGCTGAACGACCAGGACGGCACAGTGGTTGTAGGTACTGGTGGGTGTCATCATCATCAAGTTGGGGAAGGTTGTTGGAGAAAGTTGGGGTTTGGGGTTGTCGGGGCTCGCTTGTGTGAGATCAACGAGATTCGGAGATTGCCAGAAAGCGGGTGAACTGTTTGAATCAAAATGAGCGGGATCGTTGAATGGTCAATGCTTTCAAGTGGTGGTGATGGTGCCGGAAACGATGCTGCGGGCAAAAGGGGTCGGGAGGCTCGAAGGAGGGTCGGAGTAAACAATTGACCGTATTCGGGGTCTTGGCGGGGTCGCTGGTTACCGCCACCCCCTCCGGTTTGTCCCATCTTCAAGGTGACTTTGACTGACGATATGCTCACCCTCAGATCGTCACCGTCCTAGGACCAAGTCACCTATCCATCCATCCCACATCCCGTTGTCTCGGGAAAGGTGGGAACAGTAACACAGCTGGTCCTATAATTTAGCCGGAGAAACACGGGTTGACTGACAGCGGCGAGTTTGATGACGGACAGAGACAGTTCAGAATTCGAAGGGTCATCACCGCCAAGACGAAGTCGTTCCGGGTGGACGGCGACGAGAACCACAAACCGCCAGCAGTTCACACCACGGTCACCCAACAGGTTACCGTAGCGTACAACTTCAGCAGCATCATGCCAAATGCCGACGCTGCCAACGTCGCATACAACTACCGAAACAGCGGCTATCGAAAATGCACTCACCATTCGATTTCGATCGACTGACCATCCCCATCCCATCCATCACATCTCCGACCGCCAACTTCCGGCCAACTCAAGTGCCAACGTTTGATGAACACCCATGGTGTGTTACAGCTACGCAGTAGCTGTCACAGCCGCATCCCAGCCTTGGCCTCGTGGTCGGGGAATTCCCCTTTACCCTACCTTATTCACCTGCCCGGAATGGTATAAGTCGGCCCGGGCTTGGCTTTTTAACTTACATTAGTGCCGTTTGACTACAGTACACTAGGTAGCTTCTTTGTCTCGGAGCCTCAAACATGGGTGTCCCAAACATGCTCATCTCACGTCTCACGTCGCTCACGTCGCTCACAGGCGTCTTCTCACTCACACTCTTTTGGGTGGTGGTGCTTATCGGTCGCAAGAAAGGTTTAGTGAACGGCGGACATAAGGATCAACGGGTGGAGTATGTAGTAAGCTTCAGGGCGGAAGAAAGATGGTTGGGAAGAAGAAACGAAACAGCCTCGTAGGCTGGCAGGCTGGTTGTCAACGTTTACGCTAGTTGCGTGGTGTTGTTTGCGTGGTCTGGTGGGAGCCGCGGAGTACGGACTATCACGGAATACGCTCGGTGATATGCAACGTCTTGGTTCACGGACACAGCCAATCATGATGTTTCAATAATCTGGACTAACCGGATCCCGAGGCAACTCCAATGCCAAGCGCCGTCTGTTGTCTCTTGGACCTGATGATCTTTGATGAACAATCGATGGAACGAGACAGGACGCCGTTCGCGCCGCCGCCGCCGCACGGCCGGGTCGAACGAACATGCATGATCCGACGAAGTACCTGTCAAGTACCTTTGCGTCCAGGGGGGAGGGTGCCATGCCCGGGCCCAGGGAGGTGGACACTCATGCGGGCGCTTGGTCCGATCATCGGCCGTGCGTATCTGGGGTTGCCTTGCCTAGCCTAAAGTCGTCCGAAGTCTGCTGTGAGCGTCGATGAGCTTGGGAACCATTGATGAAGGGATACTGATGCATATGGTTGACACGGAAAATTAGATCGGTGGAGTAGTCTGGATGTTTGATGTCGAGCCTGCTTTGGATAATGGGGTATTTGGAGGGGACTGGACTGACTCACCGCCGGAAGGAAGGCCTGGAACGGATAGCTGTTCCTTTCAGATGTCCCGGCGTGAGAGTCATGATGAACTTGGCGGAGGTGACGAGGACCGAGATGGCAACAAAGAAGACATGCATCGTAATGAGAAGAGTTGGGATGACAGATAACGTCTTTGATATTGATTCCTTCCTCTGTTCTAACATTGCAGGGCATATGTTAGCGAGCATGATAAATAGAGACTGAGTAGCAACGCGGCGGTAATCCTTGGGATACTCCCATCACTGCCTGTTCCTCCTGAAGTGTGCTGCAATATGCCGCATTTTGTGGCGGATCCTCTGCCCCGGTGAAGTGGGCTCAACAACGGGACCGCCTTCAGCAGAGGGGTAGGTCTCGATAACCCGACCACCGACAACGTAAGCACCATCCACAGATAGGCCTCCATCGACGAAAGTATTTCCCCCGACAGGGGGACTTCCCTCAAGAATGGATCTTGCTTCGACGGCAGGACGCTCCTCACTTGAGGGGCCTTTGTCCATAGCGGGGTCTCGTTCAGCGAAGGAACTTTCCTTCAATAACGGTGTATCCACTGATTCAACCAGGCCCAGCTCCTTGAAGAACGCATCGGTAGTGGGTTTGCGGCTCAGGAACTGCTCAAGTATGAACATTTCATCTTGCGAGGCGCCCTTCTCGAGAACCATGTGTCTATATCGGTGACCTTGAGACTTATCCATGGGATCCTTAGCAAAGGCAGAGTAGAACATGTCGTAGGTGTAGGTGTTAGACCAGTGATAGCTGTAGAGTCCTGCGTCGTACTCATAAAACAGATGATGGAGGTTGCCATGGCCATGTGTCCTACCATCACAATTGTTAGATATATGCGAAGACATACGAATTATGGAGCGACATAAACAAAAGAAAGCTCACATTGGTTCACCAAGAGCCTCAGGTCCCTTCAACCCTGTTAGCTCGTTTCTCAGCTCGTTGTGTCGTCTGGCAAAGTCCATGTCGTCCAGTTCGGTGCGTGATTTCGGCGAATGAACCTCCATGTCAAAAATTGCGGATGACACCTGCCACAGATTGTTCAGCGCCTTAAGGAAATGCCTGCTTGCCGCAATCCGCTCAGCCATGTCGTCAGGCATCTGCTCGCCAGTCCGATGGTGTTTGCTGATGCGTTTAATGTACTCGGCCCTCCAGGTTTAATGTTCAAGCATCTGGCTAGGGGGCTTCGACAAAGTCTCGCTTGCCTGCTGTCCCGCGATGACGAGAGAAAGGAGTGGGTGAAACCAGACCGTGGATCCCGTGTCCCAGTTCATGAAATAGATCAACAACATGTTTGTGGTCGAGGAGTGAGGGTTTGTCCTTGGTTGGCGCAGGGAAGTTGCAAACATGAGCCGAGGCTGGGTAAAACCTCGTGCCGTCCGCTTTCTGGTGCCCAAGTTCCAGTTGAAAGTTTGCCGTGTGTCTGTATTTGCCCTCGCGTGGGTGGGCGTCAATGTTAAGGTACCCCAGGAAGCCATTGCCCTCGGATTCGTCGTTCCAGGCACTAAACATGATGGTGTCCGTGTGATACATGACATCTTCTGCAACGCCAGTAGGAAAGATACGCCCGAGATCCTCTGCGGATAACCTAACGAAAACGATGCCAAAGAGCTCCCCGAAAAGGTTGAGCATGCCTGTTATTGCGGAATCAATCGGAAAGTATTCGGCGATCTTCTTGTTGTCGAGGTCATGTTGTTGCTTGTAGACTTTGGCGTCGTAGAAATCCCAATCCCAGTAATAGAAACTGCCATCAAATGGCAAGTTTCGAGCCTCGCAGTCCTTCTTCTTAGCATCGAGTAGCTGGCTGAGTTCTTTAGCGGCAAGGGGTGCAAGACGGTTTCGTAAGTCATCCAACAGGTTGTTGACAGCCGTGGGTGTCTTCGCCATTCGGCTTTCGACCCTCAACGTGGCATGGTCTGGGTAACCCAGTAGACAAGCTGCCTCGTGTCGGAGAAGCATGGCCTCTTGGAAGAGCGGGACGTTTTCCGGGCACTGACGGAATATTGTCAGTAGATTTTTGTGACCACAAGCAGGCACTTACGATGTGTAGTGTACTTTGTTCTCCATGGCAATCCACATGCGCTTTCGAGCCTCCGGGTCCTTAACCGTTTCAAGGAAGATGTCGTAATGACTGGGATCGAACGTGACCTTGTGCTTGCCTTCATTCTCGCCCGTTCCCTTTGCCAGCTGGTCGATAACATCATCGTCCATGCCGTCCAACTCTGCACGGGTAAACCAGTTGCAGCCATTGTCAGTAGCGTGGTTTTTTACGAACTCGCTCTTAATTGTCCCAGGCGCTTTTGGATTTGCTTGAAGCGGTCACGCTGAGATTGAGACGGTAGGCCCAATCCTCGGCTGATGGCTGCTTTCCACTCTTCTTCCAGAGCGACAGCACTCTCAATGTCCTCAAAACCTGCATTCTCTGCAATGTCCTCAGTGATGTACCGAGCAGGATCCTGTTTCCTGCTTGCCGCTAGACCAGATTGGTGATACAGAGCATCTCTCGCCCAGAAGACGTCCTCGCGCATTTTCATATCAGTCCAGAATTCAATGTACCGTTTGTCCATTCTGCGAGTGGTGTCTCGCAATTCGCTGTTCGCCGAAATGTGCTGGTAGAAACGCAGGTTGTGTGAGTACTTCTCATTCTCAAACTGGAGCTCGGGGCGCATAATGTTCTCGAATGTGACAGTCTTCGGGTCACTCAGGTTGACATTGGCTACGATCGCATCTAGCGCAGCACGATGTTTGTCGGCCCAGGATTCGAAGGCGGCGGTGACGCTTGCTGGCGTATGATTTCAGAGCCCTGGAGGCTGAGGTGGGTTGTCGTACATTCCGGTCATGGCGTTTTGTAGTCGTGTGAGTCGTGTGGTGAAGAAGGTCGTATGAACGAGGTTTCCGTGATAGTCAACTCTGCGAGTAAGGGGCGGTGACAATAGCTGAGGGCGTTCTTCCTCCTCCTTTCCAGTTGCTGTCGATCATGTGCAAAATAAAAGCTGATAAGTTGGCGAGGTGTCGTGTTTATATATCCAATTCAGTAGATCTGAGTAAATCGCATCGATCCTCCCTCCACCCCCTAAAACGTGAATAACCCGTACGAGGCCATTGTTGAAGCATGTCCCATCAGTCCGGATAGTGCCCGTTTTCGTTATGATTGTCTATCGTTTGCGTAAATCTCGAGAACCGTTTAGTGTCATTATCCATTCCAATGTTGCCAAGGGCAAACGGATGTCGTCCGCGTTTTGTATGTTTGAGTGTCATCCTTCATTGAGTGTCGTCGAGGTCGTCATGATTGTTGGTAGTGGTCAAACAGCTAAAGAGGCGGTAACATAGTAGTTGTCTGAATTTTGGCCAGAATTTTCCCCTGAAAAGTGCGAGATGAGTCAAGGAAAGGCACAGTTTTGGCAATTGCAAATACGAAATAAAAATGGTGTCATAGAAAAAGGTTCTTACCCGTTGCTAGGTGCCGATAGAAAATAAGACACGATCCATGGCCGTCAACGGAGGCCAGGGGCTCCATAGTTGACAAGACCGATACAAGCCGCTGTGGAAAGGTCCACTTGCCGTAGGGCGTTCGGCTTCCGTGACCGGACATTGTAACTTACATACAGTCTACTGCAGGAACATTACATAAGGTACATGATCAAGACGATGTAGTCTTTGCTTTCGATCAGAACGATGCCTGTTATCTCCGAGGGTACCGACAATTATCATGGCTTGCTTCCTGGCCGACGACCGTACCCGGGCTGGGGCCGGGAGACGGGCATCGGATCCCCACGTCCCCCTTTACCCCAGATTCGATGGAAGACGGAAGCGTGTTTGGCATTGTTGCCGGGAGCTAGTGACCAGGAAGATTCCGGCCAGTGGTTCGTCACCTATTAATCTGATTCTCCGTGATGTTTCAGGTGTTGTTTACCCCTGGTGACTGATTTCAAAGATCCAGCCCTTTGGGTTGAGCGGAAATAGGTTCATAAAGAAGTTCATGCTGCTGAGTCCTTGACGAGTCACTGACAACCTATGCAAACAGCCCCCCAAATCGTCGGCCATAGTGTCACGCAAGAGAAAGGGCTTGAAAGAGAGATAGTATAGACGAACATTTGAGTCCCAGCACAGGTGATCATGGCATACGTCCAAAGCCTCCCCAGTTCCTGGTAAATGATATGTCCAAATTCATATCTTATCAAGACTCCGACGCCTGCCTGGATTATAACACATGCAATTTCCCTGTAATAGATGGTATATGACGCCTTCTCCTTTGGACGGATTTGTCCCGTAATTCCTCCTAAACCATGCCCAGCGATGTTTGACCTCCAAACCCAGTTTCTCTCGTCATGATTCCGTACCACCTCTTCTCGACCTCGATTCGTTTTCTAGTTGGCAAGGATAGTCCGGACGAGCTCTGTTTGCGTCACACAAATATCGTTAGCTTCGAAACTTCCCAGGGATGCCGCGAAAAAAAAAAAAAAGAACGCAAACGCTGGGCCTGACATACCGGTATAGTTCACCTGGCCAGAGCTGGTATCAACGGCCTTGAGAAGCTCATCTACCTCCTCATCCGTCATCTTCTCGCCGAGGTTTGTCAAGATGTACTTGAGCTGACCAACGCCGATGAAACCCGTCATGTCCTTATCAAACACCTGGAAACCGCGGCAGTACTCTTCGGGCTCGCCGGGGTCACGGAAGCCGCCTGGCCTGTTGAGGACGCGCTGGAAGGTCTCGAAGTCGACTATCGGATGGAAAAGAGCCTATGTCAGCTGCCGTTCGTAGACAAAAAATCGGGTTGCGTTGGGGTACCACTCACAGTCACCACCAACGTTCTTCTCGAGCTCACGGATCTCGGCGAGCGTAGGGTTCTGGCCACAAGCGCGGAGCAAGTCACCCAAGCTGTCGAGAGCGACACGGCCGTTACCGCGCTTGTCGAATAGCGAGAACGCCTCCTTGTAGTTGGTAGAAGCCTGACCGTCGAACTGGTTAGATGCCATTGTTCCTATATTGCGCTGTCGCAAACAAATCTCCTTTCAAAAGATCCGGCTATGTAATGCTTCGTGGTTGGTGCAAAAGCGCTGGCTTGCGATCGTGCTGGTGGCGGAATCGAGAGGATAAGGACAGTGGTTGCGAGAACAAGGCGCAAAGAACCCAAGCGGCAAGGGAGCAGCGATTGCGATCAAAAGTTGGCAGAAGATGGTGTTTGGACTGTGAGATGGATGGATGCCAACGAAGAAGCAGGACCTTGCAGCTCAGCGCTCAAGCCAGGCGCACTTCAGTGCTCCGACTTATGGCAGAGCGCTGCGGCTTCCAATATTGTGGCACCTTGTGCCTTTGTTGTCGTGGGCAACCGCGGGGTTCCTGGCTCTTGCTTTGGCATGCTTTCCATGCGTCGGGGTTGGGATGGAGGGATCGAGAGGGGCGCGCGCGTGCCAGTGCCCGCAGCGAATAAACAGGGACAGGTTCCACTTACCATTGTGTCTCAGGGGGGAATATCGATTGAATGCGCAAAGGAAGATGCAAGGGCTAGTCGATGCAAAAACGCTGGCTGATGGATTCGATGATGCAGAAGATGATGCTATTCAGAAGAACGGTCAAGAAGCGAACCAAGGCCAGATGCAAAAGGAGTGGGCGATTTATTTTCCAGGCTGTTCCCCCTCGCCTGTTTGGGCTCTCCTTCCCGCCGCGAAATGAGCTGTGGACAGGGAGTTGCGCCTGGGTGGTGCTGACTGGTCTGTGCCATTACGCAGGATGCGCTCGCATCCCCGTCGCGGTGGCAGGGCAACCACTAACAACCCGCGAAACAGCACCATGCTAGCTCGATCGAGACATCAACATCTTGGTCAAGCAGGGGGCTGGTGACACTGCCCGGGTAGCCAAGTTCAACGCCAGCCACCACTGTCTTATCCTGATATCCTTCCAAACCCCGCCAATTTGAGAGGCAGCCTTGTGACGATCAAGCAGGTTTCTGCTCTTTTCTTAGTTGCTATTAGAGAGGAGAGGAGGGCCAACAGCCGCAAAAAAAAGGATATCGAAACAATATACAACACACCGGATTCGTTACGACGACTCAACTCGCCATAATCATCGTCTCTTCGCCATCAACAGAACGGTTCCCCAAATCGCATCAACCTCGATTTCAGCCCGTCGATCCCCGGCCGCTTTCCATTCCGGTACCGCAGCGACAACCTCGTCAAACATCAAGTCAACAATGTCGCCGTCTCCTCCGTCCGCCCTACTCTTCATGTCGGGATGGGCGCTCCTCCAACCACTGAACGCGCTGTACGTGCGAAGATAGCCCTCCAGCTCGCCCAACTTGAGCCTCCGCCGTAACCAGGTCGCCTCTTCCGGCGCATCGCTAATATCACCCGTCACACGATCGGGATCCCAAGCAATGTGGACCACATGTTCCCACTCCGTCTGGGGAGGGACCACCTCCGGGTATGAATCCCGCAATATGTTCCGGCCGGGTTGCTCCCAAAAACGCATCATGCTCTCCACGCCCGGCACCGGCTCCGTCTCGCCGTAGATGAACTTGTCAAAGATGGGCGTCGTTTCCGGTCGCCCAACGATGATGAGGTCCTTGTAACCCCAGAAAGTCAAGGTTCCGCCACGCTTCACGACCCGTGCAAGTGCCGGCCAGACCTTGGAGTAGTCGAACCAGTGCGCCGCTTGGCCGGCAACCACACAGTCGACGGCATTGGCGGCGAGGAAAGAAAGGTCCTCTGCCCCGCCCTGCTTAACCGTAATGTTGGGGTTGTCACTGCTCAGCTTGCGAGCCTGCTCGACCATGCCGGCCGAAGGATCAAGTGCGATAACATGGCTGAAATAGGGAGCGAGTGCGCGCGCCACCAAGCCATGTCCGCAGCCAAGGTCCAGCAATGTCCAGCAATGTCCAGCTGCCGGTGAAGACGATGGTGGTGATGGGAAGGAGGGTGCCTCTATGCCATGAAATCTCAACACCCGGTCATAAAGAACCGAGGGATATGAGGGCCGAAAGGCAGCATAACCGGCAGAGGAGTAGGTCGAGCGGCTATCGTGGGAATATGTCAATGATTACAGTAAGCAATGCGTCAATGCTGTCAGTAGGCGAGTAAACAAAAGGTGGGGACTTGCCCGAAGATGGACATTTTCCTAACACTTGCACCAAATCACGAAACTCTTCCAACAAATTAACTCTGGGTGGTCGCTTAAGAAAGTCCGTCGAGGGATGATTCTGTGCCTGACGTTGTGATACCAATATTGTCAGGGGAAAACAGGCAGCCTGGATCTCCCGTCAACGGCAAAGGGCTTTTTATATCCGAATATCGAGGCGCTGAGACGGCTCATGGATGGTGACATATCATCCTTCCTCGGTTCCCTCCTTCCTCATATCACCCCGCGCCGGGATTCCAAATCATCCTTCATGGTAGCTCTCGGAAGAGGCATGATTCCTTGCCAAAGTTCACGGATCCGATGGTTTCCGTCGAAAGCCTCGGTTGCTCTTGCTTCCGCATCACCTGGCCTTGATTTCACCGAACAGCAACAGCGATATCGGAACTCCCATTCTGAATCAGGAACTTGAATGGAATTCAACCAAGTAAGCACCTATCACCACCAAAAGAAACAAAATTGATATTGTCTGTGCCTAAATAAGTACAGCAACACAATCATCAGAATCAATTACTGATTAGTTATGGTGGGGGCTGAGGGCACTAACACCACAGGTACCTCCACGGCACGCAGTGGGCACGTCATCGGGGTCCCCCATAGATAGTGCGGGGATGCCTAGGATATGGCTGTCTTAGTGGTCAGCTTCCTACGGGATCTACTCCAGGGGCCCAGGCGGCGTAGAGACGGGAAACACCAAGCATCACCTCGACGGCGAAGTAAACTAACTCGATGTCTCCATCAACAACCGAATGTCGCCATGGAGACCCATGTCCTAGAATAGAGTAGCCAACTTGACTTTAGCTCGATCACCTTGGTACATACGACTTTGATTACTTGTCAACATTACTTGTCTCGACGGCAAACATATAAACCGACCCTATGTCCCTGATATTACGGCCTTCTTTTCTGTCTTTACAACACATCCTCAACAAGCCCAGCACAAAACATCACTTTCACCAACAACTACCACGCTTCATTATCACTCCAAGCTATCGAAAACAACAACACCACTTCTTTACCTCATCACCAACAACCTTCAAAATGTCTGCCACCGACGCTACCGCTAAGACCTTCTTCTCCTCCCCCAAGTTCGCCGTAGTCGGCGCCAGCACCAACACCGAGAAGTTCGGCTACAAGGGTTCGTTTCGTCCTCTTCCTCCCCACACCCCATTTTCCTATATCACCAACTGCCCCATCTCATCTCATACTCGCATCCTCCACCCGCACTAAACTAACATCCATCACACAGTCTTCAAATGGTACGCAGACCGCGACCTCCCCGCCACTCCCATCAACCCTCAAGGCGCCGCCTTGACCGTCAACGGGCAATCCTACCCCGCCATCAAGTCCCTCTCGGCGCTTGAATCCCCCAAGGAGACTTCGGTTTCCATCATCACCGGTCCCGCCATCACCCTCAAGACTCTCCAGGAGGCCAAGGAGTTGGGAGTCCCTGCTGTCTGGCTTCAGCCCGGTACTTATAATGATGAGGTTTTGGCGTATGCGAACGAGAACTTCGGCACGGTGGTTGTGGGTAAGGGAGGATGGGGAGGCGAGGGGTGGTGTGTGCTTGTTGATGGGGAGAGGAGTTTGGGCGCTGCTAGGCTTTAGGTCTAGGTTGAAGCAGATGCCGGGTCTACTTTTGGAGAGGTGATTGGGAGGCTGAATGGTTGTTATGAGGATATGATGATATGTTTTCTTTTGTTAGTTCAGTGTCTGATTACGGAGGTCTGGTTGAACTTGGGTATATAGAGAGTCAGTCTAACACTGCTTGTTTTGGTGGCTTTGAGACCTTTGGTCAACTTTCCTGTGTCTTTTGATATCCGCTTTATGTGCTTTCACTTTCGGAATAAACCATACCCTCTCAGATCTTGAATACGCCTCCTAAGATTCCAACAAAATGTTGTCAGTCGCTTGATGGACAATCCCACGTATTTCACTCGGGACATTTGGCAGAGGCTTAGATAGCGTGTGTAGAAGCCGAGACAAGCAGAGTGGGAAAAGGCTAATTAAATATGCCATGACAATCGTGTTTGCACCATCCATAGCTGTTCCCGATTTGATTAGATGCCTCAAATTCCTACTTCAGCCCAATCGACAAATGCACTAACTAACGTCCCCGTTAATTCTCCCGTCTGCTCAAGATAAAAAAACAAAAAAAACAAAGGATGACAGTGGGTTACCGAGATGTAAAAAAACCAGCAAAAGTTTAGTGACAAGAGTGGGATTCGAACCCACGCCCTTTCGGACTGCGATACTCAGGAATCCTGAACACAGCGCCTTAGACCGCTCGGCCATCTTGCCTATTGATGATTATTGTTAGTAATTGCAGATTATAAAATTATAAGGAACACGTACAATATGCGTTAAGGTTTGGTGAAAGTCAAGTGGAGTGCGCTGGCAATCCAAGAGAGGAAAAGAATATGGAAGTTAACGACGCACGATTCGATTCCTTGGGTTCTCATGTCTGCTCATCTGGTTTCGTCTTAAATGATAAAACTCCTGACCTTTGATCCGATCCAGTTGTCGAGAATAAATCCAACATGATGCAGCCTCGGCCATCACTGCGCATCGAGAGCCCCCTAACCCTTCCCCGTCCCTCCATCAGCTGCTTTCCATCTCCCCAGCCCCCCCAGCTGTCTCAGCCATGCGACGAAGGACGGCACCGCACCTTTGCAACATCCACTTCATACCAAAATACCCTCGAAAAGCCGCCCATACCTACTGCCATCTGGCTCCAGACAGTCGCTACTGACACCTCATATCAACGAGATTGAGAATGCACACGAAGTTACAAATGCTATTCCAGACAAGCCTGGTCGAGAAAGAACACAAGGAAAACAGCCAACTTCACCTTACCCGTCAATAAGCGGCGGGTAGTCTAAAATAGAGCGAGAAAGACGCGTGGCAGTGGATCCTGGAAATGGTGGAAAGAGCCGTCCCTGCCGACATTTGATACCCGGGGGACAAGGACGGGGCCGGAACGAGGTGCAGGAACATGACCAGGGGTCCGGCAATCGTTCGTCAACCATCGGAGCGAAGCCCGGACAAGAAGCGCCCGAAGTCGGGGACAAGCGTGATCTGCCATAAGAGCTATCCTAAAGATATCTTAGTCGCCTTCCACTTCCCCTCATCACTCGTTCGCTGTCCGGTTTCTTTCAATGATAACGCCCAGACAGACATCCACCATCTCTCAACCACCTGTGAAAGTCTCCTCATTACCACAAGTCTCAATTCACTTCTCGATTATCAAATTGTACATTTCGCTTTGCTACCCAGGCCTTGGCATTGTGGCTTGAAAGGCCCCCGATTGACCCCCAACTTCCACTCCCACCAGAAGAATCCAGATTATACCGAAGCTGTGCAGTGTACAACTGGAACACGATGAGCCTCTCTTCAGCTTGGTTTCAGCTCCCGTTGATCCGATACGTCTAGTGGACCAACCCCACTCGTCGATGCACACCCGCATCGAGCTAACTACAGCGTCGGGACCATCACCATTGGCTACGACAGACGGCCTTATCAGTCAATTATCTCTACCGCCTGGCCTAGATATCACTGACACTAACGGTTTAGTCTTTCTTTAACGTTGAACCCCTCGTCCCTGTCACCTTGGTGTGTCCATAGCGATCCTGTAGTTCGGGACGAGGGTGGCATGTGCCATGGCATGGATTGGTCGTATTCTCGCTCCTATCCACCCTCAACACCGCCTGGATCACTTCGACCACAATGTCCATCTTCCAGATCTCTTCTCACAACTTGGACAAGCCAGTATCCGACAACTACTTGTGCAATAGTTGAGGCAAAATAGCCTCGAAAGGTGACCCAAAGCAATACTAGAACCGACTGAGCATGGCGCAAACTCGTGCTCCGATGAAGAATAGACAGAAGTCCAGGAGCGGTTGTCGGACGTGCAAGATCAGACGCGTAAGTGGTCTTGCCTCCTATTATCTTCCAATATTACCTTTCATGCCGTATCACTTTGAAGTTGTGGATAACAACTATGACCGACGCAGAGCCGAGTGTACTGACTCCCGTGGAGATAGCTACGATGCGATGAAACGAAACCAGGATGCCGGAACTGTGCCCAGAAAGGGTTCGAATGTCCTGGCTATCAGCAGCGTCTGCAGTGGTCTACCAAGCACGAAGTTGCTCTTCCAGCCAAGCCTCTTGAGCCAGAGAATTTTACACAACTTGTCACCGCCGCATCCGCCTCCATTGCCCCATCCAAGGAAAAACCACCGTTGAGTGATGTCCAGAATCATCCCAGGCCTACTACCAAAGCGCCTGCTGCTCAGACACCGCCTGTAAACCATGCAGAGACACCACCGCCATCAGCATCTTTCTCGACGCCATCTATATTCTCTTCGCCCCTACGCTTACCCGGGACTCCTGCCGAAGAACAAGATGGCTTATACTCTCCGATCACTACACAATGCTCTCAAGACAACCGTACCTATTCCCAATCCAGTCAAACCTTGGCTCTCACCCAACCAGTCGTGGACATCCGCTCCTTCCTCATCGAACACTGGTTCAAATCCGTTTGCACCTCTTGGTCCGCCTACGACTCCGCCTCTAACCCTTACCGCCGTCTAACCTCCGTCCTCTGGAACTCCTCTCCGCCCGTTTTCTACGCTCTGCAAAGCATATCCGCTGCATCTCTAGTTGAAAAGCTTCCGGCCGTTATGCGCGAGACAGCCCGCATGGCGCCCCGTCTCGCAACCGAGGCCATCAAAGCCGAGCTCGTCAGCTTCTTCAACGGCCAGCACTGCGCCGTATTTCCGCGTGGCCTTTTGCTTTCGCTCTTCTGCATGAGCTCGTCCATGTGCTGGATGGAAGCCCGGCAGCTGGGACAGCAATATCTCCGGCAAGCTCGGGGCGTCCTGCAAGCCCTGAACAGCTGGACGTTGAGTCCTGAAGACCAGGAACTGCTTGATTTCTTCAACGGCTGCCTCATCTACGAAGAGATGCTGCGTAGCGTGGTAAGTGACGACGAGGACGACTTCCGAAACATGCTCAGCTGGCCGGACCCGCCTCTACCCACGGGCCAAGGCACTCTCATCCCGTCGACACCCCACCCCTGGACAGGCGTCTCAGCGGACGTGTTTCGATTATTTGGCAAAGCCATCGCGCTGTGTCGACGCTCGCGCAGTCGATGGCGACATAACGACGGGACGACGATGCGGGTCCTGCAGAGCGCAATGAAAGATATCGAAGAAGCTACCCGCATCGAAGAGGCGCTGTTGGCTATTGACGTACCCGCCGACGGCGACGGCGACGACCACGGCGATCCTACCTCTACAGATCTAACCCGTAACGGCAGACACACCGATAACACCACCACTACCCCCAAATATAACACAAGACCTCTGCCTCGCCACCGAGACCTACCGCCTTTGTTCGCTCCTGCAACTCTATGAGTCGTTTCCCGATCTAGTCGCCAAGCGAATACCCGACCTCGGTTTTAGTGATGGAGGAGACGTGCCAGACCCAGCGATAATCTGGACAAAATGGGTATCGCCCCTAGCATTACACGTCACCGAGATCTTGGACCGGATACCAGCGAGCAGTCTGCGGTGTATCCAACCTTTACTGTGTCTCTGCGCGGGAAGCGGGTTGAGGTTCGATAGTAAGACGGCAATGGGGCAGGGGGAGTATAGTTATTTGTTGAGTTTGGAGTCTTCGGCGGATATGAGTTTGGAGATGGGGGTGGGGTTGAACGGGCTGGGGATTCCGGGGCTGTCTGCTACGACGACAACGACGAGTGAAACTTCCGAGGATACGGCATTCAAGATATCGCAGGCTCGGTCTATCTTGATTGACAGATTGGGTCAGCTGGAACTGTCGTTGCCACCTAAGCCGATAGGGGTCGCGAAACAGTTGCTGCATGCGGTGTGGAGTGCGTACGATGAGGAGATTGATACGCCTAGGAGAACACATTGGCTTGATGTGATGAGTCGGACGGGGTTGCATAGTTTGTTTGGGTGATGGAGGAAAATGCTTTGGGGCCTTTGAAAGCCAGATAGAAAGTAGCCTCTAGTTGACCCAAGAATTGTGAAGAGGACGGAGGATGGTTGTTTTCCTTCGGGTTGATCGAATTTACGGTCTAATCTGGTCTGTTTGTTGGCTCGTAACCTAAGGTCAACTTCCTTAAACCTTTTCATACCTGACTAATTCATACATCTTGTCCTATCCTCGAAGCCATATCCAACTTCGATATGCTTATTCCAATTCCGAACATGTCATGTTGAGTCTCGTTAATCCATTCCCAATCGGCATAGAAGCATTCCAATACGTTCTTATGATCCTATCAGCTTTAGGCTAGCTCAGAATGGATTCCACCTAGAATACTGCGAGTATCAAGCTAATAAACAAACCAGCATTGAATTGTAATATCACTCTCGACTGCTCAGATGTCTATAATAACGCTATTTTTCTAACTACACCTCTTGAGCTCCTTGGATGTAAACTCCCAACGAACTGCCCTAGCCTTCACTCTAAAGAAATATTTCCCTTGTTAGTAGGAGTGTAATCAACTTCATCAGGATATTCCAGGTTACCCAAGAACTCCTCAACCTCGTTCATATCAAGGCCTTGGCTAATGTGTCTGTAATCACGAAATCAGTCAGTATCCAATGAGGTCCGTGACAGACGAAAACGAAAACGAGCGACAGGGAACTTACTTATCAACAGCCAAAACCTCAAGGCCCGGAACGCAATCAATCAAAGCAATGATCATATACGACCCGCAAAACGCCCACGTAAACCCAACAATGGCCTCAACCATCTGCACCCACAGTTGCCGTACGTTTCCGTCGAAGAAAACTCCACCAGCGACTTCCACGCCACCATACGCAGCCACCTCCTTCTTCGCAAACAGTCCCGTCATAATGGTAGCAGCCACACCACCAATGCAGTGTGTAGCAAAGGTATCACCGTTATCAACCCACCGCCAATGATGCGCAAACTTGGTAAACTTGATCCTCAACGCCTGGCGACACAGCGTAGCCCCAAAGACACCGAAGAAGAAGGCGGTCGGCATATCGATGAACCCAGCCGAGGGCGTGATCATGACAAGACCGGAGATGGCGCCCATGAAGGTCGAGTCGATGGACCACTTGCCCGTCTCGTAGAAGGTGAAGAGGTTCCAGGTCAGGGCACCCGAGGCGGCGCACAGGTTGGTGACGCAGAGGGCCATGACGGACTGGAAGTTGAGGGACAGGGTGGTGCCGGCATCGAAGGCAAGCCAGGAACCCCAGATGATGATCAGGGACAAAAGCTGGAAGAAGGAGTTGCCTGGCCGGTGGATGCGAATGTGGGTGGGCGTGCGGATGTCGGACTTACGCGAGCGGAAGAGCGGGTAGGAAAGGTAGATGCTGATGGCGGTAGCGGTGGCACCGGAGCAGACGTGGACGGGGGTCCCTGTATGATTGGGGGATTTTGGTTAGTGGCTGTGCTCGAGTGTCAAGACTTGAATGCTGGTTTTTTTTTTTTTTTTTTTTTGGGAACGTCGATTTACCTCCTGCGAAGTCCAAAACGCCCAAACCCTCTCCGAGAAAGCCTCCGCCCCATACCATATGTGCCAGCGGGCAGTAGATAAATGTCGCCCAGAGCTATTCAAAGTGGAGTCATTAGCAAATTATTCTTTCTTCACCTTGGAAGCATTCCAAGTCACAATGCGGATCACTCACGAAGATAAACGGAATAACCGGCAACAGCCTCCCCCTCTCACAGAACCCGCCCACAGCAATGGCGCAAACCGTTGCCTCAAAGACCAACTGGAACTCGCTGAACAGGATTGCCGGAATTGTCCCAACTGGCTCGGAAAGCACTCCCTTATGGAAGAAGTGCTTGAGAGAACCAAAGAACCAACCGCCTTCGCCATAAGCTAGTGTGTATCCGACAATAAACCATTGGATCGAGCAAGTCGCAATAGTGAGGATCGAAGGCATGGCAGCGTGGAGGGCGTTGCGCTTCCATGTGTATCCCGAGTAGGCTATGCCAACCTGTTGGTAAAGCAGAAGTGGTAAGTATGGTGTTCATCTTTTCAGAGTGGGTTGGGAGAAGAGAGGGTCTCTTACGGTGGGTACAATGGTCCAGCAGATGACGGTGCAGATGAGGACGAAGAGAGTGTCTGTCTTGTCGCAAGCCTCCCAGGCTGCGAGGACGGGTGATACCGCCACCTCTGGCATCTTGAGCGTGTGTCTTGTGAATCGCTTGGAAATCTAAGAATCAACGGCGTAGGTAGAGAAGAGGTAGATGAGCCACATAGGAACAGAGATTGGACCGGAGAGCAGCTATATCAAAACTTCTCATCTCCCATTGACCCATCCTATCGACACGTGAACTCGCTAACCAACTTATCCAGCTCCCACTTCATTGCCATTTTCATATAAGCTGTACGGTGATGCTCGCGGATGATAAGCTGGGGGTAGATAATCCCGGGGGAAGTGTTACCAAACCCAGAAAAGCAACTGGAAGCGGTTAGATAAGGAATGGCAGACAAAGTAATGGCAACACTAACAGATAAGAGCTTCACATTCAAGACAGTGCTGGGGTAGCATTGAACTGGCTGACTGGCGGCGCCAACCAACCAAGACATTCCGTGCAACGTGAATTGCAGCAAAGCTTGTGAAGGAGCATTGATGGAGGGGCTCCGAATTGGCCATGTCTCGGAAAGGAATCCGTATGCAGGTCGAGGTGTCTGTAGTTGTGACGATCTGGAGAGGATCTAGGGCCTGCACTTTTTGTCCTAAAAGGGTTTAGCTTGGGGGTATGTTAGACGGGAGGGCGATCCTTTGGCGGCAACGGGCCGTCCGGAGTGACAACGCCGCGGATGGTAAGGTCAAAGCCAAGCCAAGGGGAAAGACCTCACGAGAGTTTCCGTGAAGATGCTTCTCGGTTTGGTGAGCTCTCAAAGGCTCGGTTTTGTCGGATTGTTGACGGTTGGATTTGGGTGTGAGATATCCTGGTCTCTGAGACGACGAGAGGCAATGGATGCCATCCCTGTATCAGTTATTGGTCTTGTACCAGATACGTGAAAAAGAAAAACGACTCTGGAGGATACTTACTTTGCTGAAGAGGAGTCAGAAATTTCAGTTGGAGGGCACAGGTGATGTCCAAAGTGTGGGAGGCGTGAAGAATATTCCGGCTCCCGCTTTGCTCTTTCCTCCGTCAACGGGACGCGCAAAGGACGTATGGTGGAAGTGAGGAAGGTGCGTGGTATCGCTCCTTCCTACTGACCACTGCAGCAAGGTGCAGGCTGCGAAATGAGATGCGGAGACAGAGTTTTCGAAACGTTGCGAGTGACGGAACACATGTGTGGACAATCTCTCACCACAACATGCTTCTGTGCCACTGATCTGTGATGCTCTTCTGACATCTTTATCCACGCCGGCACCACTCATCCACCATCTTTAAAGCATTTATACCCAGCGGACGAGACAGTTGACGATCGCAAGACCAGAAGATGGACCCCGAGACCACTGTCGATCTAATCTCTTCGAATGATTCTTTGCATACCAATGTGCGCACACCAACAAGTGACTGTGATCAGCCGGTCTCGGACGGTCCAGATGCAGATGAGTACGCGCGGAACCACGGCCTTAGCATTGATAGCTTGAATTCAGATCCATGGAAGGGTTTGCTTGAGCGAGATGATCGCATTGCGGTAACCCTCATCCAGACCGACTTTGGTGATCTGATCGAGTCCGAAAGGCGCCTTGAAGAGCTCGCTTTTAGGTCTATCCTCGAAAAAGCAGAGCAATGGTCTGTTTCAGCAGAGTCCCTTACAATCCTTCAGCAAGTCTGCAAGCCCTGCACAGACCGGGAGGTGGCAGCTCATATGGCAGAACTGTGCTTCACAGATACTGGCGAGCTGAAGAAGCTCAAGGTCGAGCAACCTGCTCTGCGGAGTGATCACCAGGCGGACTGCAGAAGGCTGGAGAGACGAGTCAAGGCCTTTCAAAAAGTCCTGCTAGAAGATCATCATCTTCCGTTGCATCCGGTCGACGTTGAGCAAGGGGAAGGACTCAAGTTTCCTGAAAGCGCGCGGAAAGGGGACGAGGCACTCATGAATAGTCTTTCAAAGGAGACAATCGAAGTCACCAAGGACACACTGATGTTCTTGGTCCAGGGCCTCAAGGCTGATTGGAGCGATGATGAGCAACGTGAACTAATGGAAGACATCTCAACATACACAGGGGTATGTAACATCGAAGTGGTTATCCGTCAAGTACCACACAGAACATGAACTGACATGACTTAGTTGAACCGAGTAGAGTATGTGACTCCTCCACTCAGCCCTCGAATGCAGCCCGAACAAGAGTATTTCGTCCCGGATGACCAAGATTGCGCGATCCCAATCCTATCCGACCCAAACTCTTCTTTGAGCACCGAGTTAGAGGCACTAGAAGGGAAGATCTTGTCCAAGGACAACAACTTCTGGAGCGACATTGCTTCCCAGCAACCCAAGTCACCGGACAGATACGATGATATCGACATATCGGGAATGATAAGAGCCGGAGAACTCTCAGTGCCAAAATCGCCTTCATCTTCCCCGGAATTGATTCCCCGGGACTTCAAGATAGAAGTTCCTCTGTTGCCGGATGACAGCATCGTTCTTGCAGGCAACGTGCCTTCCCGCGTCCTGCTCCCTGAGGATCTGGAAGTGGCCAAGAACCTCATGACCAACGAGACAATTCCAGGCGAAGCGGGTGTATTGGATGGACGACTGAACGAGTTCTTTGAAGAGACCGCAACAAGAGTGATGCGCACTGCTGAGCAGGAGCAACTTCAGCCACTTGATGCAACGGCACGCGTCACCACTCCAGTGATGGATTTCTCCATGCCTCTCTATGAATGGGACGAACAGCTATGGACTCCCCAGGTCATGTTCGAATGGATACAGAAAACGACACACGTTGACTGGAAGGGCCTCAAGTGGCAGAAGAACAACCTCAAGGAGCAGAAGATGGTATGGGCTCCCTTGGCCCACATGGCGGAGAAGCAATTGATAGCAGAGGCGGTCGAGGTTGTTCCAAACGTTCTTGCTTTCTTTTTGGACGAACCGCGGGAAGCAGAGATACAAACCAGTGCCGATTTCGTCCACACACAACCCGGGATGTTGTTCCTGCGTAGGAACGAAAATGATGAAGACGAAATCCTTGAGGAGAGACCAAGGGAGCCCAGTGCATCCCCTCCATCAACGGAACTGGTTCTTTCAAGTACGAGCATCACTACAACCCGTCCTTGCAGTAGGTCATCCCACATCTGTCAGGCCCAAGAATCCATAGATGTACAGACCAGGCCGAGTATTTCGCCATCCACTCTTTCCATCTTGCAACCTCAAGACCTGTCAAGCCTTCTGCGAGGAAAGAAGAGGCAGCTTGAACTTTTCCAACGGCATTCCTCACCAGTTGCCGGACCTTTGATCCGGGTCCTTGATGCGACCAACCAAGACCGTCCAAGTTCAACAAACGTACTGAGGGGATTTGAAAGCGAGTATACGGACTTCAGGGCGCTCGTGGAAAACTTTGTCGAGATGAACATGCCAAAGAAAGCCAAGCTCCGTCATAGCCGCTTCATCAACCAGCCGGCGCTGCCGCAACCACAACTTGCAGCCGTCTCCAACACGAAGCCCACGGAACCCAAGACTCAACCTGCGCCCGCACCCATTCCTGCTCTTTCTCCGGATATTGTCCCTCCTAAAGCGCCTCCTCGGATAATCATGTCTGCTGCGGTATCCAACATTATCACGAGCCACCTGGAGAAGCTGCTCATAGGCATTGGCCTCATCGAACGCGACTACGAGAGACTCAGACCAGAAATTGTGTCTCCCGGTAGTAAGCAGCCAAACTGTGACGAAGCCGACTTCGTCTTGTCCCCAGCCACAGGGATCATAATCACGACCATGGTAAAGCTGAGACAGAAACCCCTCCCGGTAACCCCAGGCCAACAGCAACAACAGCCGACATTCCGCAATGTAGTTGAGAACGTAGCCATGCGTCATGAACGGCTTATTGTCCTCATTTCAGAGGGGAACAAGCATAGCGAGACCATGAACCCGCTATCCCAATCTGATGCGAAAGCCCTCGCTGAGTTCCAGTGCTTCGCAGGTGGGCTACAGGCGCAGACTGACGTTCACGTCTTCTATGTTGGCGGAGGCACCGAGACGTTGGCCAAGTGGGTGGCGGCCATGGTATGCAATTATGGAACAGAAGCTGAAGAGTGGCAGAGCATACTGCTGCCTGTCGAAACCGGCTGGGAGCTTTTTCTGCGGAGAGCGGGGATGAACGTGTTTGCTGCGCAGGTCGTCCTTGGAATGCTTAAGGTTCCTGATGACGAGTTTGCGATCGGTGGAAAAGAGGGTAAGCTGTACGGCTTGCCGGCCTTCCTGATGATGTCGAGAGACGAGAGGGCTGAGAAGTTTGCGGATATATTTGGCGGTAGGAGGCTTCTGGATAGGGTGGGCACTCTGGTTGATGAGTCATGGGGAGATGGAAGCGTGATGGAGATGGACAACGGCGTGCTGAGTCAGGATAAGGAGGTTGTTGATGTTTTCAGTGATGATATCGAATTCTCTGACAGCTTGGGTCCAGATGAGCCCAAGGAGCAGTTCTCTGATGGTTTCAGCCAGGATTCTTCACCATGGGAGTGATAGGAGGCATGGCTGGCAACATGAAAAACCAGAACACTCACATTTTCTGATTGTGTTCACTTATGAAGAGACGCAAAACAGACGTTTGAGGCTTCGGCTATCACGACCTGCCATACAGAAACCAAATAGCAGTTAGCTTCATGGCGAAATGAAGGCGCGGTTCGCCGAGAATGACATACCAGTAAACTGGGTATCCCCAGCGCCATAGCTTTGCAAGCTCATGTATCATATGGTTCGTTGACCTCCTCCTGATGGCCACTCTCAGCTACATTTCCTGCAGTGATGCTCCATACCTTGAGGCTGGTCTCCTCAACAACCGCCTGAGGTGGTCTAGCTCTGCCATGTCGTTGCTGTGATGCCCTACTCTGCTCTTCCTCTGAGCTACCCTCACTGCTGGAGCTCCCAGAGTCGGTGTCATCGGACTCCGACTGCGACTCCGACTCCGAACCAGAACTCTCGTCATCATCCTCATCATCAGGAAACTTCCACGACCCCGAACAAGTAGCCAACACCGACCCGCTCATATGCATCGCCGTCCCGCCCACCGCCGACTCCCTCGCACCCACCTCGAAATCATAACTCATCTCCACGCTTCCCTCCTTCATCCCCACCCCTTCCCACACCACCACCTTCCCGTCCCTCGCGCCCGCCCACACCTCAAATCCACCCACCTCTGCATTCGTCCCCGGAAAAACATCACAGCTCAACCTCTGATTCGTCTCCCCATCTCTTCCGTTTAGACACGCCAACAACCGATGCGTGCCCCTCAGATCGTACACCAAAAGCCCCCTCGACTCCCGCTCGTTAACCACCAGGTACCGCCCACAGGGGCTCCAAACCGTCTGCAACACACCTCTCCCTCCTATTTTTGCTAAAGAAGCAGCCTGACTAACATTCCACGTAGCCACGCACGCTCCGGCACGATGTAAGTCATACAGACCCAGGTTTCTCGTCCACGTGCCAGCGGCTACCACGTTCCCTCCCCCTCCTGCAAGACTCCCATAGGTATCAGGAGATAAGGGTTGCAGGGCAAGCGCAGAGACGGTGCCTTTCATGCCCACCGTCCGGGCCCCCTTCCCAGATTTATGGTTCGGACCTGTAGTCTTGATGGTCAAAAGGGGGGTGTCGGATAGACCGAGATCGGGACGGGAGACGTCAAAGAGCGAGAGACAATTGGTCGAGCCGGCGAGGAAGTGGGTGCCGGGATAGGACCAGATGAGGGAGGTGATGGGGAGGTAGCGCTCTGTTTCGGCGTGGATTAGGCGGAAGGTTGCTAGGGGTTTTGGTTGTTGATGTTGCTTATAACTTGATACAACACCAGAGGAGGTGGAATCATCATCATCGACAGAGGAGGAGGAGGGTGATGATGGTGGTGGTTGATGAGAAAAAGCATGGTGTAAATGAATCGGATGGTCGGTGCTGGCTGTCAGGAGGCATTGTGTTGATGGCTGTTCTAGGGCGAAATAGGGACAGGGAGCGATGGCTGATGTGGGCTCGGGTAAACAAAGCGTGCCTTGCGGGGTGAGGGTGAGAGGGGAGTTGTCGTCGCCGTCGTCTTGGCGGGAGAGGAGGGTGGACGGGAGGACGAAGGTGTTGACCCTGTTAGAGGAGGAGGTGAAGAGGGTTGTTCCGTCTGCGGACCTGTGGTTGGTTTGTTAGCAATTTGTATTTTGTTGTTCTTGAGGACTCTCTGCCTGGAAGAGTCGGAAGAGTGAGGAGTGAGGACTTGCCATTGGACACTTTTGAAGAATGAGTCTGTTTGACCGGAAGACCGACAGCTTTTTGTGATCTTTTTAGGTGCTGATGGGAATAGACCATCTGGGCTCGTGGACGTGGCCACGAGGTTGAGAGAGGGTTTCTCCATTTTTTGATTTCTAGTGTAAATGGTGACAAGTGGTGATGATGAAGCCTGCGACTACGGAGCTGTGGTATTTTCCTTTGGGATTCGCTTTTCGAGAGGCACAGTTGTGTCCTGGAAGAATTTGCTTAACAAACAGACTTCAAAGTTTACATTTACCCCGCGATATATTACCCGTGTTACTGACGGAAACCACTAACGGGAAGGTGAAGTTACGAGTTTGAGTGAGTGACAATGTGAAGTTGTAAAAGAGCGATGGAGTTCTGTTCAAAGGTGGAAGCTTCAGGTTAGTGGTAGGCAAACAACCTGCATGTAGGGCCGATATTAGTGACGTTGATTTTGCGAAGTACTGAGTGGCCTAGGATTGCTGTCAGTGTACCTGAAAGGGGTGCAAGTCCTAACATCATAGTCAGTCGGCCAGTAGACCCACGTATTTGCGGCACTTAGCGCGCAGGCGGCGGCAGGCAACCTCCCCAGTTTCAGTTGCAGTGAGGACCTCTTTGACCACCTCAGGCTTGGCATGCATGGGAGCTGCTTCCACCTGACGGATGACGACGCGAGCGTGTTGTCCATCTCTTCTCCATCACCACACCGACTTCTATCATCTCACTTACAGACTCGCTTAAAAGAGAGTTATCGCGACTTGTGCCTACGAGGTCAAAATAACAATCGAACTCGACGAGCAGGAATGCGCTGCGATTATGCCAGGTAGCTAAGGTTGCAACGACTTGAACTCACCCAACAACACCGTCCCTGCGGTTCCACTCTCGGGTCCGACTACCGATACCGATATTGTTACCGAGTTACACCTCCCGTCTCATTCTTTCAATTGGTTGCGATCGGATCGCATATACTTCAACTTTGCTTTGAATAAGATCCCATTTCCTCCCAGTCAAGCCTAGTGTTCCATTTCCTGAGCCTTCAACATGGAGTCCTTCCTGCAGGGGGACGTCTGCCAGGACCTCCGTGAGATAAGCGTCGTCAACCTAATAGTCTCCATGTAAGAAAGCACAATATGGAATCAAAGCAAAAAGGAGGAAAGACTGATTGACCTCTATAGTGTCATTGTCATTGGCATGCTCATCAGCTATCTGCCACAACATGCTCGCATCATCTCGAGAGGTACATCAGAAGGGATATCGCCCTACTTTGTTCTGCTGGGGACAACATCCGCAACTTCTGCGTTTGCAAACATCCTGCTGCTGCCTAAGTCTCGCCAGGATATTTCTTGCTGCAAAGAGGTTGAGACCTTCCATTGCGTAGCTGGTCTACTTGGTATCGCGCAACTGGGAGTTCAATGGATATGCTTTACCTTCATGTTAGTACCCCACCACGATACTATGCGCAATGCCTTCGACTAACTCTTCCCCTCCAGTTTCGTTCTCTTTTTGGTTTTCTTCCGATACAACCCTGTGGAGGATCCGGACAACGAGGCGCTTGTCGAAGAACAGCCTAGATGGCAGACCGCTCTACTGGTAGCATCTCTCACCCTGCTCCACGGCCTGGCAGTCATTGTCGTCACGGGTATCTTGAGCACCATCGCCCATGACAAGCTCGCCCTCTGGGCCAATGTGCTCGGCGTCATGGCCGCTCTTCTCGCTGCTATCCAGTACATCCCCCAAATTGGACCACCTACCACCCTCAAGCACGTCGGCAGCTTGAGTATCCCGATGATGTGCATCCAGACTCCCGGCGGGTTCGTCTTCGCAGGCAGCCTATTTGCGCGGCTAGGTTGGGCCGGATGGAGCTCGTGGGGTATCTTTGTCTTGACGGCGACGATGCAAGGCTTGCTGCTTTATATGGCCATCTACTACGAGATCCAGGCGCGCAAGGAGCTGTCTAAGACGCTGCTCCATGGCCAGGCGCCTTCGCATCTGTATGCTAATGGCTTCGATGACGATACGCCGGGTCGGTTCACCTCGCATCCGGAGCACTATGCGAATAGCCAGGACCAGTTGCAGACTATTTTGGACAGGCAAGAGAGTGATGCTGCTGCTGAGACTACACCGTTGCTCAAGTCTGGTGGAATTGGGAATTCGGGTTCGAATTAGGATGGAAGCCAGTCGTGTTCGATCGGTGGGCTATGAAGACTTGGGACGAATGCGTCGGAATCATCTTTCTGCGAGGGACCTATTCATTGTTTTCTTCACGTCGGTTGTACTCATGCACACTATGGCGTTAAATGATCGAGGCAGATGGATGGAGCTATTCTTTTGTGAATCACTGTAACGTTCGATCTTCGTGACGTTTTTTGATAATATACCTTTGAATTAGTGTACAAGTAGCAAGGGAAAGGGTGTGTGAAAAGACCCATGTCGAAACAGCTACCGTATGAATCATCGGAAAGTGTCATACAGGAAATCAACAAGGGGGATAATGACTTGAAATCCCATGTGCTCCCCTGGAAGTTAAAAGGGCGGATATCTTTATTCTGACTGTACACTAACATATCTCAATTTATTTTCTTCTCCAGTCCTTACCTACCAGTCACAATATTATCTCACCTACTCACACAATTCTCTTGCTGTTGCACCTTCTCCTTTTTATCTTGGTATTGATTTTAGTCAATTGTCGCTGTTACCAATCGAGTACCCGTGGGTGTGAGGTTGGCTCTCGTGCCAAGGCCATTTTACTTATACTTACCCTCTTTCAAAGGGTGGGGGAAAAAAACGTTCGGATATTTAAAAACCCTCGGATGATCTTGGTGTATACATGTCATGGCACGTAAGTCTCGAGGGCAGTGCGCACGAATAACCTAACGAATATAATAAATAATTAACTATAGAGAGTAAAAGAGAAGAGGAGGAAGTGCGAGTCTGGCTGACACGACTAAATATAAGAATGAATAGAAAGTGAGTTCGACAGGTAAATACAACAAATGAGGCATATAGGTAATGCAGCCAATTAGAAGACATAGCGCCAAGCTATAATAATACACCTATTCTTTTTTATTAGCAAAACGCATATAAATCGAAAACAAATTATTTTTTAAAACCTTTTTCACGTTAGCAAATATTTCTACTATATAGTTTCATACTATATTAATTTCTATCATTTTCTAAATTGTTATATTTACCTATTATACTTCCTAATATCTTATAGAAGGAGCCTGCAACCGTATATACCACGCAATAACTTATTAACGCCCGCGCAAAA